ACAACCAGCCTCAGTGTTAATTACAGCAAAATATTCATACATTAAATAAAGCCTCCTGTGAATTGCAGGTTCGCAAGCCGAACTCTTTGAAACAACAGCAATAGGGGGTTTTAACCACACCGTGGTATTTACTCCATGTGTTTCTCATGATACTTTTTCCAGTCCGAGCAGCAGAAAATTGTAATTCATCACAAATTCAGAGGAATAAGCATTATGAACTTATATTTAGCTTAACTTAGCTGTTAAACAGTATTTATAAGACAGTGTAGGATGACTATCAACAGAAAAAATCACATCAGCAGCTGACATAGAATAATGAATGAGGTGTGGTTAGGATATTGATAATTGCAGAGCGTTACTTTAGGGATGTTGTTGTTTTCGCAAATAGTGAAGGCTCTTCAAGATTCCCAGGAGGGAATTCTGTATTGCATCCCTACATTGTTACAATAACTGACTCAATTAATAAGTTGCATTAACTAAACATCTTTGTTATGTGTAGATTAACCTTGCATTGACAGTACAATGTCCATGTTTATATTTCTCCCTGATGCCAGCCAAAGGAAAAAGCTCAGCCAGGTGATTTGAAGTAAGTAAAGTGCGCTGTTCTCTTGTTCCTTACTTCAGTACACTGACATACTGGTTACGTATACTTATGAAAAGCTTACCTCTGTTTGGCCAGTTTCGTAGTCCTATCCTATACGCTTGGTAAACTCATTGAATCAGAGGTACTGGAGTTGTGGGCTACATAAATTTTGGTGCACCGATCAATTTTACAGCCCAGTGATGAAGCCAGGGACAGATGGGTCCACCTCCGAGAATTTCTGCTGAGAGAAATGTCATTTTTCTATTCATATGGGAGGGTTTTTATAGTATTGTTGGTGGTAAGGATTCAGTTGGGGTAGGTGAAATTATGGAAAAGACATTTTTAATCACACCCATGTGTTCATACTTAGGTTCTAATAGAAAAAACTCTGATGAGTATTACAGTCTACAGTACACACTCTAAAAAATAAAACATTGGGTCAACAAAAAAAAATATGTTAACGTTTTCCACTAGAATTTTTAAGTTAAGCCAACTGCTGGCAGAATTACATTGATCCAACATAATGTTTTGAGTATGGTGAATTACCTTTTAGGCCACAATACAATGCATTTCTAAGTAACATGAACTTAATAATGCTCAACATGAATGCAAGTATTTAAGTTGATCCAACATAATGTTTTAAGTAAGGTGAAGAAGCTTTTTGGCAAAAATAAATCACAGTTCTAAGTAACATGAACTTAATATTTAAGTTGATCTCTGCAAGAGTTAGGTTGAGCCCTTTCCTATAATAAGGGCATTTTCCTGTGTTTCCCAGGAGGCTAAACTCTAACCTACTAGTCTGCTCTAACCCGCCCACAAAAACAAGGTTAGAGAGTTTTGAGCAACTCTTCCTGGGAAACACAAGCTATCGTGATGCACTGCCTCATGAAGACAGTTGGGTCTTTGTCTAAGAGAGTTGGAGATTTTTGATGGGACAATAAGGACTTCAGAGAGGGCTTCCATTTTTAAAATATAAACAGACACCATTAATGATCAGACTTTTTTCCAAATGATATTCAGGCTTACCATGTGCTGTGTCTGCTCTTGATCTGTCATGACCTTGAGAATAATTCTTTAGCCAAGCTCAGCAGGAATACCCCAAACATGAGGTGTAGCTACAGCCTTGCTGTCTTTGTGAAGCAAGAAGCAGTTAAAATCAAATGATTACAACACAATCTGAGGAAGATGAGGATGGTGTGTGTTTGTGTTTGTTTGAGGGTTCTGAGGGAAAACAGCTCTGACAGCAAAAAGATGACAAACACCTTCTGAAAGGTGGCTAGGAGTATTTAGAGGCATGAGGGGGATGTCAAAACTGGCAACCGGACAGCAGCTAAGGGACTCTTTCCTGGTGCTCAAAAAGAACAGAAATTCAGACAGTAATATTTAAATTGATTAGAACCATTTATTAAAATTAACAGAGCACTAAATCCTTAAAAGTGCAAACAGCAGCACACTTCCCTCGACTACGATGGTTGCATGCCCATCACCGATGAAGGCAATCTTCATCACTTGCATCGCAAGGTCTGCATCGAGCTCCTCCACATCCCTGCAGAAGAAATGAAAAGGTGTTAGGATGTATAAAATACATGGCTCAAGCTCTTCAGGGTGACGTGCATAAGGGAATGCAGGGTCTACGCCTAGCCCACAGGAGGCTGGTGCACTGGATTGAAACAGCCATATCTCCACGTGGGAAGGCTACAGAGACATGCAGTTCAAACAAAATGAAAAATTGAAAGCGTACTCAATTACTTACGCGGTACTGTTTGAAAAGGTCCCTCCTTCTCTCCAAGATAGACTATGAGGCAGCGAATGGCAATTTCTTTCCGCCTTTCAACTGTGTTGTCCTGATTCATGGAAAAAATAGATCAGGTGTTCAACAACAATCAGATGCAAGTGTAACCCAATCATGACAATTTGAAAAAAATGAGTGTTAGTTAGGGACCGAGCCAAAAGGCAAGAGGGCGAGGACTCCAGCCCTTGCCTGGAGGCAAGGACCCTATTGTTATTGTATCGTTTCTTTTTATTATTATTCTACTGCCTCTTTATGCCTCAATTTGACCCCCTAAACCTGCTCAAAAACGCACCAAATTTGGCAGGCACATCAGGTCTCAATAAAATGGAAAAACAAACAACATCATACTCTCTAGCGCCACATAGAAACACTAAAACAGCCACTTAATCCATGTTTTTAACTAATTATTTATCACATGAACATGAATATTAACCCTTACAAATGAAATATGGTTCTTAAAAATAAAGTTAGTGGCTGTAGCCTGTCACTGATTGAGTCGGTTTAAATGCGGGAGTAATAGGTGGCCAGGTAGCCAGGAAAAACGTCTTGGCAAACTAACTTAATATGGGATTACCAATTAGGCACCGCTCCGGTTAGCATGTAATTTAGGCTAGCTACGTTTATAAACTACAAGTAGCTACCTCATTTACTTTCGCTAGCTGACTAACAAACTAGCGCACAAATAGGTTGTGTGTTAGCGAGTTATCGTTAGTATTTCTTCTCATCTGAATCATAGTCTAATCATGTCTATGTCTACTAACGTTAGCCTGTTAGCATAATGCTACCTGGCTCCGGTAATAGCCACTGCCTGCTAAGAGGCTAGGCCTCCATTTTGGCTTGTTGATTTGGACTGTTGCTGACTTCAGATACTTTGCTCAAAACTAGTCGGAGTAATGTAGGGCCCTATGAATTTCGTTTTATTTTTTTCAAATTCCATTTTTTCCGTTTTAATTTAATAAAAATCCCATATTAAGTTAGCGTGCCAAGACGTTTTTCCTGGCTACCTGGCCACCCATTACTCCCGCATTTAAACCGACTCAATCAGTGACAGGCTACAGTAGACTATCACCAACAGAATTCTGAGCGAATGCAAATATGTGTAATTAAGCATAAAATTACTTACCATTCACCAAAACGCTTCAA